AATTGTAGATACTTACATTTGTGGAAACGATTTTTTCATCTTCATCATTTTCCTTCAAAAATCAACAAAAAACATTGGTTATCGTCAAAGAATGAAACATCACAACAAAAGTCGTAGATAGAGTCGATGCGATTTAATAGGATAAGTACTTAAGTTTTCAAGGCAAAAGTCACCAAAAAACAAATACAAAATCACCTAAAGCCGCATTAAGTGAAGCTGAACTGCTTGTAGACAGATTTCATTTTAATAAACAAGTAATTAGAGAAATACACTAGGCATGCAAGAACGAGGTTCCACATAATCCAACCTCAGATTTCTCCTTGTGTATCTTCTGCTTCTTCATATTTGCTTTTCTCTTTGAACAAGGTTCCAACACGCACCTACCTAATAGAAAGACATAACAAAAAAGGTTACAAATCAACACAAGACATTCGATCTCAAGAAAAAAATTTATGACTATTTTCTTCTATAGATATAACTTGTTTATACAAAATCAAGATTAAAGGTACAATGTAAGTTTTTCATAGTTCTATAATTAATGCTTGAATGCCTCATTTAACCAACAAATGACTCAAGAACACAAGACCGAAGAATCTTTCACACGTCCTTTGAGGAGTAGCTGCTGGTTTTGCCTTCCTCTTCTTGTTGGCTTTTCATAAAAATCATACCAACAATAAAGTGAGGCAAAAATGAGATTTATAGAAAGCAAAGTAAGCCGAGAAAATGTAAGATAGACGTATGTATCTACATGCTTAGAGGTTTCCTCTTCTTCATCCTCTGAATCCTTCTCCGTGGAAACACAATCAACATGAAGATATTGGTCGATGATGTGGGATTTGTAGCCAATGAAATGGACACTTCCTCTCTCCAAGCTATGGGAAAGCTCAAACTCTTTCTCAAAGATGAGATGATCAAAGGTAACTTGAGGGATGTTTTCTTGCGAAAGAGTTCCAATGACGAGTTTCTTCCCATCAACCGTCACATATAAGAGCACAGAATCTCCCTTTTTACCTTTGTCAAGAGATTGATTAACCTGAGAAACGTGGATAAGGCAGTCTTGATCAGGCTTTACTTTTGCTCTCCGGTTAACTTTCAAGTAAAAAACAAAGGTTTGTATACTTTTCTTCCTTTGGTTCTTCTTTAACTTCATATAGAGATATTTTACAATAACATGCAATATGCATATATATGAATTTCGATAGTTCTTTTTTTTTGATAAAAATGAATTTCGATAGTTGTAGTACAATGTCGACGATGACGCGAACCATTACTTTTTACACTTAACTTTTTTGTGAACTTTGTAGTTTGTATACAATATTTTCAGAGATATATAACAATCGGT